ATCCTTTAATAGTGAAATAAATGTAACGCACAGGCTCTCACAAAATTCTAGGAAACTCATCTCAGACATAATGGCTGCATTACTGTTGCTATTGCCAAATATAATTACATTCACTGGTATACTGTGTAGTGTTATCTGTAATCATTATGTAAAGTCATTTTTACACAATCTCTTTCCTGTGATGGTCCTGCTAATAGTTATAGGGCTTATAATAATCTGTCTCTGATCCCCCTCCTTCTAAATTGATTGGAGGAGAGAAACTAAATGGGATTGATTTGGCTGGAGCAGGTCAAAGGTAGACTCACAATACATTAGCATCCTTCTCTTCATCTTTAAAAGCCGCTGCCTTTAAATAGACTGAAGGATTGGAAATCGCCAAGTCACATCCAGAGATAGCCAGGGAGAAAATTATTTGAGCAATGCTCAAACTCAATCCCAGTCTTCCTTCCTAGAACTCTGCAAGATTTTTGCAAATAAGATGATGCCTACCTGCCTATTCTTGTGTGTATCTGCAGAACTTAATTCTCAGCCCCAGAAATGTTTCAGAGATGATGAGGAACCATGGGAAGATCTTGATTTTTCAAGAAACTGGGGTGTTTGTAGTTGTGCATACCAAAAGGCAGAGTAATCAAACTTGCAGCCTCAATGTTTCTTTCAGTATGCCTAAAATAATGAATTTTGCATACATACTTCTTAGGCTCAAATGTAGCCCCAATATGAGCTTAGGAAACAGAAACAAGGGTGGTAGGGCTAGCTTATATTTCATGAGAGTGCTAGTATCATAGCTTTACAGATGCGAACACGCTGCTGCCTTTGCCAGCCACTGCTCTTTATCCCACCTGCTTCTAATGCAAGAGTCTGGAAGTCATAGCTGAAATGCTTTACGGTTTCTGTTCTATTGCGTTCACTCATCATCCTCTCACAAATTCCTACTGGTCTGAAAATTTCCATGCATTATTTCAATGTACATATACTGCAGATAAAGGGAAGAACAGACAGATAAGCATCATCGTATTGTAAAAATCTTGCAGATTTGAGGGAAAGCATGGGATCAAGAGGGAACATTGCTCAGAGCTGTCTCCCTAGCAATTTTAAGCAATATGTACATACATACTTGAATTCAGCACTTTTACTATCAAGCAGAGTGTGCACATGCAACAATAAACACAAGTTTTCAATATTGGGGAAGTCACTATCGCAAAAATGTAGGTTTTATCATTATGAGAAAGATGCACCCCTTTAATTTCAAGTGCTTGTTTCAAATCGGCCTGGTTAAAGTAACAATGCCACATTGCAAATACTCTTATTTTCCTACTTAAATATGTGATTACAGATGGTGACAACATTTGAGTGGCTCGGCAAATTATCTTTTGTTATCTGAGTTGTCATAAGTACTTGTACTCTCAGTCTCCCCACTGGCAAGTAATGCATCATGTAAGTGTTGTGGAGACGGACAGCTCTAGCTAGCAGGTGTCTTGATAACTTGCTAAGCATGATCTATTCATAATATAGCTTTAAGTCTTGGTCAGGAAAAAAGTCTGTTTTGACAAACTTAGTTCTGGTAGCCTATGGCTATTGTCCATCTCCGCTTTTACTGCTCCCACAGCAACACCAGCAGAAGGAAAGATGTGCCTGCATCTTTCAGCTGGTTTGCCGCTCAGTTTCTTACCTGCAATAACTGCGACTTCACACTACACTAGACTCAACTATGGCAGCTGGAGCCCAAGTCACATCTCTCCTGCTGATTTTATACTGAGGAGTGATAACAAACAGCTGTGTTTGCCAACATTTTTACATGACTACAGCTGCCTGCTCAGTGAACATGAGGCAAAACTCTCTGAGATCTCAGAGTGGCTTATCTCAGTTTAGAAACTCATTTAAGCTAAAGAAATAAACTAAACAAAGCTTAAAGAAAATAAAGAAAAGCCATTTTGCACCTGTTTTTAAGAAAACAGAACAAAGGACTGTCACTGAAAACAACTATGGCTCAGCTCCACAAAGCTATTTAGATCCCTAACAAGTACCGAAATAACTCAGTCTTCCTTTGGTCTAAAAAGTGATAGTCAGTTCTGGAAATATAAGTTAGATGCCTAAATAACTCTGAGAACTGTCTTCAAGTGATTGCTCTTGGTCCCCCCCCCCAGCTTGCAAGGTCTCATTTTGAAAAAAAAAACAACCCTGGTTTGGAATAGTGGAAACCACTGCCCCTCTCAGCAAAGACTGGCAGTCTTCACTCCAGAGCAGGGCTGAACTGGGCTCCTGTTGAGGACTTTTCACTACACATGGCATATCCAATCAGAGCTAAACCAGGGCAGCTTCAAAGCAATAAATACTCAATATATCCTCTGTTTTGGTTTTCTTGAATGACATTCAGTCAAATGCAGTGTTGAGTAAATCACAAGATAGATCTTTTGATAAATACTTGCAAAAATGTATTAACTTTTCTATAATTAGTAGCTAGGTGTTATCTGATTTCAGTATAGTAAATATTTGCCACCTAATGGTTATGAGAAAGTTCTCTCATCCCTTTTGGAAAACATGGCATAGGGCATCCTTAAATATACAAGCTGTGTATTCATTCTCTATTTGTCCTTCTTCATGTAACACTCTACTTTTGCTTTCAAAAGAAAGATTGATCCTGGGCTCCAGTGTTCTCAAGATTAATTTCTAGATTCTCTGGCTGGTTAGCTAAGGGTATTTCTACTACATATGGAACAAGAAATATCTCGTTCCACTTGAGAACTAAGGAGAACTGGGACTTGGTCCCTGATGAAGCTTCTCTCATCTTTCCAGTTTTCTGGCTTGACGCTGAGGGTTGTGATCATCAGTTCAGTACCTAACTGCAACGTAACTGCAATTATGAATCCTTTGTGACCATTCTATTTATTTTTCAGTTTTTACAGGGTGAAACCCAGCTAGATGTACCTTCATTTCAGGCAAGAAAGCAAGAAAAGGAACTGGGTTTGCAGCTTGCAATTTTCCCATGTCTAAGTTAGCAAAATAGAAGGGTTACATCTCAACTGCAGTAACTTAGCAAAAGACTTCAGAGGACAAGAGTGAGAATCTTCCTGAGTTTTTTTCATTAGTGGCAATGTATTATGCATGGTGGGGCAAAATCAGAAAGCAGAGGAAAGGTGGCTTTAGAATATGCCAGAGTGTTTAGTGGCTATTTGTCAGGGCTGCTTGTGGAAGGCTTGTTGAAACTTGTATTTCCCTCTGCTCCTTTATGCCATTTGGGCTTTACGTGAAGACATGGAGGTTATTTTAAAAATGCTGATGTTGTGATTAAGGGCAAAGTGGTAACAAGGGGATAGACTGTATGTGTAATCTCATACGAAAGCTAGAAAGGATGTATATTTGGAATTTTGTACATTGTCTTGTTACTGATCTGAAGAAAAACTAGTTACTAGTATTTTTTTTGGTCTCAAGTGATAGTTCATTAGCAGAACAGCATCTCTTCTTGGCTGCAAATGCTTTATCAGTTTATTGCGTGGCCAAACCAGTCCTAGCAACAAAATTCAAGAAACAATACCCATTACTCGGTGAAACCATATCCTGTCACGTACTTACAACATACTCTTTTAATTAATACAAATTTCTTTAATAGCAAACTCAGAAATTTTGTTTGGCTTTGCTAGCAAAAAAGCACTCACTTTGCAAAGCGCATACACTTTGCATGTACTCAGGTAGAAAAGGAGACATTTGTAGAAAGGTGGACATTGTCTCTTAAAGTGAAATCCTAGAGTACAACAATTGATTCTTTCCATTCCTTTGACTAATGGAGCTTTGCCAGCTGCAGCTGGAATCCAGCAAGGCAGTCAATAGCAAATCATTCTTTCTGAGCTTCCTATTGTGAATGCAGTTGTTACTGGATTTAACTCTGAGGTCTTGGATACATTTACAGCAAAAGCTGTTTTAATGGAATGTGGAGGACTAGAAAGGAGTACAATACCTGCGTAACAAAAGTTTTCAGGTGGATACTAAGGGCATAGCATAATACTAGATTTAGCAGTGTGTTTAGTGGTAGTAATAATAAAATAAATCAGAACTCCATAGGCCAAAGTGACACTTGAAAATTTTACTAGTTCTTTAGTCACAAGAACCATAAAATGGAGCTGCTCGCATTTCTCCAAGTTCTCTCTCATACTGACTCTTCAGACACTGCAGCACATATCCAAACACTTCTATACAGTGTATGTCCTGCTTATTGTGGGACATGGCTTTGATTGCTTAAGCTATGCTGTACGCTCTAATTTTAATGGCTGATGAACGCTCATACACTTACTAAGCAAGGGAGGCAGCCAATTCACGTTGACTTCACAATGGGAATCCAGAAATGTCAAGACTTCTCCTCTAGCCAGCGAGGCTCCTAGCAGTCTGGTCCGAATGAGCCCTTCTCGTTTCTTGGTACGTACAATCCTCACTTTGGCAAAACGGACCATGTATTCCTCCAGCTTCTCTTTTAAATGTTCTAGAAAGAAGGGCAAAAAAAGCGTCAGTGGTGCCAGGCCTGGAGGAGCCAACAGAAGGACAGGTTGGCATACAACCTGCAAGCAGCTTATCTACTTCCATCTCTTGTCACTTCAAGTCCTCCAAAATGTGCCACAAATCCTCTCTGAGACGGTTCCGAAAGTGCAAATGTTCTCTGTTTTATCACACAGAGGAAGACACTAACACTCTGGACCTTTTACTGCAGTTACTACTGGCAACCTGCCATCCACGATATAATCGTGGCCAAAACAACTGCAGGATATTCATCCATCCTCTGGTTCCTGCAGCCCAAGGCCAGATGAATATTCTGGCATGCTGTTTTATAAACAGTGTCCTTTCCAAGTGGGTTTCCTATAACAACTAATTATGAAGAACTATGTGTGGAAAGCAATTTTTAAAAAGTAACCATTAAACTAGCATGATTAGATTGTTTTTGTAACGGGAAGGGAAACAGACATGAAGGAAGATCTTAATAGTTGGATACTAGTGTGAAGCAAACGGACAGCTGACTTCCTAATAAAATTAAGCTGCAAATGTAGAGCTGTTGATAGATTCTCTTATCTGCATAACCTGGCTCTGTTTGTATCACAAAACAGCACCTTTGGGAACTTTTTTTCTTCTGACTAGAAACACACACTAAGAATCATAAAAAAAAACCCCAACGCAAAAAAACACCTTAAAGTTTTGCCTCTTCGTAAATACATCTACAACAGAAATACTGATCTTTTGTCTTCGATATACCACCTCAGCTTGTCAGACTCGTTACTTTGGAAAAATCTGATAATTTCATTTGGCAGGGAAAGAGGAAGAGAAAATCTCAGTGTCCAATAATTAAAACTCATGATAAGCCACATTTGGTGATGCTAGGGGTTGCAAGCTAAGTCTCACTGAAATGGGTTTGCCAGGTTATGACTGCTTCTTATATCAGCTACTAATTCTTTGGACTTGTGTGGTCAGTACAGGCCTTGATCCAGACCTTGCATCATTAGAGATTGTAAGAAGTTTGCTGCAGACTACCCGAAAGGACTATTATTTAGCAGTACCCTTGAGCATATAAGGCTGACACATAGATTAAAGGCAAAAAGCAAACAAGTCACAGTGCAGAGAGTACAGAACTGTGTTAAAATAAAATCAAGCTCCACTGAAATAGAGCTTCCTGCACATGCTCCTTCTTGTCTCTGCTCCTTTCCTTCCTAGCTGACCAAGGCACAAGACTTTCCAAATCTACCTGCATATTAGGAAGGAGTAGAAACATTAGTGTGTAATTATATGTATTTAGTGGGAGAGTACTGCATGGGATGCTTCTCTGCACTGAGGAATCCTGATGTATGCTGACACAGAAGAGGGAGCAGCCTGAGACCTGGGAACATCGGCTTGCAAGGCTTACAGAACAGACCAGGGGTTTTGGGATGGGGAAACTGAATGCTTTGGAGATCTGCTGAGTCAAGAGAGTGGTTTGTATTCATAGTACTAACCAAGAGAAGTACTAGATCAAGTGAGAAAGACCAAGTCTGAGACAAAAAAAAAAAAAAAGACATTCAGATAAACATCAAATGTTTTTGTCTTCTACTCTGTGGCTGATTGTAGAATACACAGATTTAAATTCTGAAATACTGTTCATCTATGGTTGGACTCAATGATCTTAAAGGTCTTTTCCAGCCTAAATGATTCTATGAAATAAGAAGAAAAGAGGTATCCCTTTTTTCACCCCATTTTGCTACTTATGTACACAGTAAAAACCAACACAATCCCCCAACAGTTGCAATGATAAGACATGTACAATGTCTCTGAATGATGATCTTTGTATGACCAACCATAGTCATGGGACAAGGGCTGTGTGCCACTCTGACTCATTTTTAGGTACCAGCTACAATTCAGTATTGTGACTGAACTGAGGTTAAATCACATCTTAGATCATTCTGTGGCCACATGCAAGACTGTCTAAAGCATATATTTATTGAACTGTTTTCCTGTTTTTATGAGCTCCATTGATGCTATTCCCATAGTGTAGGAAAATAGAAGAAGGGAAATAGACCTTAAAAACAAAGATACAAAGACCTTGCAGGTAATATAAAGAAAGTCTGTTAGGGCTGTCAATCTGCGTTTTTTTCTGTTGTAAATTGTGTCATCTTATAGCCATGAAAAATGAAACTGTTTCAAAGTGACAGGATATTACAAAGTTCCAAAGTAAATCAAACCTAATCTGTTAGGTACCGTAGCTTCTGTTAGTCCTCAGCCACTGGAAATTTCCTGTAGTTCTTTAAGGTCATCTAACCCTTTCCCCTCTGATCTCTTCCACCCACAGGTCTTAAGTTTGTTTGCACTGAAGAGTGCATATGAACCCCGCATCAAGAGCAAGACTGCATTGTTGCACACTGTGCGGACAACTAGTAAGAAGATTCAGGTTACTCAGCCTGAAGACAGCTCTCCAACTATGCGATCAAGCACTTAACACCTTGGCTATAGTGCAAACCCTCCATCTTCACCTGCCTACCCTCAGAGATGGGTTCACTGATGAGACTCTGGTTGATCTGAGGATCCTACTACATAGCTCTGAGTTTGGCTACGTATCAGATATGATTGCTTTACTCTTTTCTGTGAGCTGGTTCTAGGCAGTTTCCATCTTTGTACATGAAGGCAGCTACCAAGGAAGCACCTCAACTATCTGATGGAGAGAAGCAGGAACCTTACTTGGACAACCTAAGTTTAAATTGTTCATGGTGTTGGTAGGCTCTCTGTTGCCCGTACAGAAATTCAAGGCATGCCTGAATTGGACCTTCACTAGTTAAGTGTCACAATGGCTAAGGTAAGGCCCTTGCAATAGACAGTTTGAATATGGCCACCACTGGTGCTTAAATGAACTAATACGAACGCACTCTTTTTGTGCACTCTGATTGTTATCACTTGTCTTGGGCCAAATAAATTCAGTGAAATTCAGTCTCATACAAAGGACTTAATTTCATTCCTTTCACATCTTACAACGAGCAAATGCTGAAAGCTGAGTGCCTGCCTCTTCAGGAAAACACTTCAGGGAGAGATGATGTAAACTATCATATTACGATACATTCTTTTCTGTTCTTATATCAGTTGCTAAATAACAAAAGAGCTGAATAATATAATTTGATTGTCATCAGTTGTATTGGAGCTTGAACTCCATAAAATCAATGGCAGTTCGTACTGTTCTTTCACTGCTTCAGGTTCCTTGCAAACTCAGGAAAAGAGGTATCTCAAATTTAAAATATTGTAATTTTTTGGGGGCCAGAATAATACCTGTAATTATGTGGAACAAACAAGAGTTCTCTATACCACCTTCCTCCCTCTCTCTCAGATAACTCTTCACACATTTCAGACAGCATGTCATCTGATTTGTGAAGAACTGCATTAAAACATCCAGCACATCTTTTGATGCCAGAATCACATATCCCAGAATTGTTTTCATCTACTCAATTAGCCCCATGATTGAATAATTTTATTATTTTCTCCTTGTCGCTCAAAGAAGAACTCGCAAAAAGGCAGAAGTGTACAAGTAAAATTTGTATGTCTTGTTCACACAGAATTCTAAATGCATTCTCATTTAGACATATCTGGTAGTAATCAGGAAGAAAACAAAAGTAGTAAGTGTTAATTTTTATAGGTCTTAGTTAGACAAGTAACATAAAAAGATCAGGTCTACTTAAAAATCAAAGTACATAGATTACTAGAGATACATAAGGTACCTAGATTTGTTAGAACAGCTATACGTTAGTAATATCCTAACAATAAGTCATGACATAGTCAAACAGATACCAGTAACAATACCTAGCATATCTTTAGTTTTGAGATTTGGCCAAGATGACAGTTCGGGAATTTATTTGGGAAAAATTCTCAATCACTACAAAAACATCATGAAGTATTTAAGTTCAACGACCAACTCCAATATGGTTGTGAGAATGAAAATATCTTAAAGTGGAGGAAAAAAATCCCTTTTGGGTCCATAAGTAATGATTTTTTAAACTTAAATCAATATCAAAGTGCTCTCATATTGTATTTTCCCCTGCAAGGTCTTGTGGCACTATCTGTTTCAAATCTCTAAAAGCAGAAACAAACACCGAGTAACAGCCAGACACAGAAGAACAGTAGTAGTTTTAAAGAAAACTGCAGTATTTTCTACTACTTATATAAGTACTAAAACCATATTTTCCTGTTGAACCACTCATTAAAGCCACTCCTGCATTACTCAATATACTGGTATTATCATAGGTGAGACTTTAAAGCAAAACGGCAATTCTGCAGGACCTGTGGTCAGCAGCTGGCTTTAAAAGCCGGCTACTTAATAAAAGAGCCCGTGTTTGAGCCAGGGGTCATGAAGACATAGATGCTCTCACAAAGACAATACCTGGGAATCTCACAGCTCAAGTGTTGCTTAAAACAGACGAGACAAGACTTTAGAATTCTCTGTATGGGAATAATTTTTATTAACAAATGTTCTAGATGTTTGTGATTACTAATAAATTTTGGTTTTTCTTAACCTTGTCTTTTCCCAAAAGTATCAAAATAAACTGCCCTTTTTCACAGAACTGCATAAATTTCCTTCACAGAAGAGAAAACCAGATGATATTTTATTTCCTATAGTACAACTGCATTTTCTCACAGTTCCCAATTATTGTGTTGCTAGTATTATCTCCAGAAGAAGCATCTCACACACAGAACATATATATTACACATATACATTTAGAAGCAAGAAAACTTGAGTGCCCAAGTAAACATGCATGAATCAATGTCAGAGCAAAACTGTAATTCTAAAGAAATTCTCTGAAAGGAATGATAATGTGGAGCGTAAAATAGAAAGCAACCTGTAATAAAAGAGCCTTCAAATGTCCAGGGGACAATGCAGTCTGCCCATTTATTACTAAAGGAAACAGTTCAAGCAAGCTTGCCATGACAATAAAACAGGGAGGTAGGATGGTTTCATTTATATGCTGTAACATTACATAAATTCCACTTTCAGAGTTAGGCATGAGAGAGAAGCCAGTATTTAAATTCTACAGTAAGCTATAAATGGTGCACTTTGGATATAAAGAAGCCAAAGCCCCTGTCACTAGATAGGGGGAGTAAATGTCTAATTTGTAATTTAAAAGAAAATACATCATTCTTTTCTTCACAGTGTTGATCAAATGAACCGATGAATCATATGTTTGACACATGCCAGGCACCTGCCAGGGCAAGAGTTGGCACAGGCAGTGACAAATAAAGAATAATGCACAGGCAGGAGGTTTACAGGCTGTCACTGCTATGACAAGTGATGATAAAGAGAAGCATTATGTCTCTTCTAGTGATAGTCTGTAAACAAATTCTCCACTGTAATTGTTTTGTGTGGGCCTTCTCTGTCTTCCTTTAAAGTCTGGAGAAGTCTTCCTAAAAGAATGGCAGACACACAATTGCCTGGTCATACTAATTAAAGATGAAGCAGAGTACCCAGTTACTTAATTTGGTGCCCAGAAAGAAATTGGAAATCAAGGTTCCGCTTTTGTCAGGGGAAAAAAAATCATAGTAGTAAAAAAGCAGAACTGCAATTCTCTCCTGTTGGGACGCATACAGGGAATATTTCATTATCGCACTGGTACCCCTGGCAACACGTGCTATCTGACAAGCAATGGTCCTCCAAGGTTATTGAGAAGGTGTTAAGAGCGACTTAAAATTTGATGTGAAAGCCAGAGCTGGTCTTCAGGACTTGCTTGACTGCAGCATGGACCATGAAATAGGACGGCAAATACAAAGAAAATAAAGCCTTTTGTTAAGCATCTCTTCTGGACAGCCAGGCAAGTCCATCCCAAATCTATGCCTGTAACACAGCTTACCCTCTGCACCTCCAATTTCTGCCCCCAAATACTGACAACCAACCTCTTCTACAGCATCAGTGACCTGTGAATTATCAAATAATTACAAACAGCAGCAGAGCCTGCTAAATGCCCTGATAAACAATCTTAACTAAATCTGTTTCTTTTTAACTTTAATTGACTGAGAAGTATGTAATTTGAGCTGTTCTCCCATTCCCAACATGAACCATATAGAAATAGTTCAAAAAATCCTTATGGTAGTAGAAAACATATGCTGGCCTCTCCTAGTACCTCAGCACAGGCATATGGGAGGAAGCAACATGGCCAAAACCACAGTAGTCTGTGACCTTAGGTCAGTAAAATAATCTGCAAGTGACTATTTCTGTTGGTGAAAATTAAAGTGGTCAAATGGCTGTTTCGACATGCAACAATAATTAGGCCAACTCAAGAAGATTTTTCTCAATTTTTTTTCTCTCCGGTCAGCAGCAGAAAGCTTTGTGCCCAATCTGCACAAAAAAACCTGCAAGTACAGTTATGCAACATCCATGGTTCTCATCATGAAAAGGACCTCCATCACTTTATGTCCTTTTCTGCAAGATGGGAGTTTCTTCCCAGGTAAAATTAGCAAGGATACCCTCCATTCCTTTCCTGAGGCCCGGAGCATACATTTTTCCCGGAACACCTCAGCTTAATCTTTTGGTGACTGAAATGCTTCTGTCTAGTTTAAGTCTTAAGCTTGACAGAAAATACATAAAGGAAACTTAGTAGCCTATGATTATTCAGTTACTATTTGTTTTCTGCTGCAATTGTCTAAATAGCCCTCTCCAGTGCACTGTCATTATTTTTAGTTTCACTGCCTGTATATATGCTACCATAAAAGCAAATCAGTCTGAAGAGAGAATACAAAGTGAGCCCATGAATTTGGCTACATCATCTTTCTTTCTTCCAGTTTCCCTTCAAGTTTCTTATTTGCAGAAGGTTGGTTGGAAATGCTGGTTGGACACAGAAATGTTGCAAAGGCTGTACCAGGTCAGCCGCCACTTTTTCTAGCCAAGTTGAAGACTCCAAGAAGGACAATTCCCCTGGCTACATGTCCGGGTAAGCTAATCCACTGCTGTACTGCCCTTCTGGTGAGTAACTTTTTCCTGAAGTCCAAACGGAATCTTCCAAGCTGCATCTTGGGACTGTTGCCTCTTATTGTACCATCTGCCAGTAGCAGGAGGAATTTGGTTCTGCCATCTGTGCAATTCCCATTCAAGCTGCTGTGGGCAGCTGTTAGATCACCACTTAGCTGCTGCTGTGCCAGACTAAATAAGCCCAGGTTCCTCAGCCTCTTCTCAAAGGTCACATACTTCTGGCCCATGACAGTCTTGCTAGTCCTCTGACTCCAGTCCTGACTGACTCCAGCTTTTGTCATCCTTCTTGAACTGCAGAGCCCAAAACTGGATGCAGAATTACAGGTGTATGCAGCATTAACATCATAAAAAGCCTTAAAATTTCATTTTATATACTCACTCTCATGCTAGCATAGCCTAATCCAGTTTGCCTTCCTGGTGACTAAAGGCCACCACTTTCTCCTAGTCACCTGGTATGCACTACGACCTTTGCAGGTCCTTCACAGCACACCAGCTAACCCATTTACATTTTTACTGGTACATGGGGTTATTCACCTAGGTACAGAATTTAGCAGTCCTTGTTGAACTTCATGAGATTTATTTTGCCCAAGCCTAGAGCTTCTCTGGACTGACATTATACTATCTGATGTGTCAGCCACTTTCTCCATTTTTGTATCATCCACAGATTTGCTGAGGGTACACTGTCTCATCATTCAGGTTATTGGTGAACATACTGACTAAGACTGCCCCCAGTACTGACCTAAGATATTCTGCCAAACAGACATCAAGCCATTGATTAACTACCTTTTGAGTCCATCGACACAACCCATCTAACAGTCTTTTTGTGCAGCAGATGTTTCCTCTATCTACCACTGAGAACGTTACAGGGACTAAAACTTCTTAAAGTCAAGGCAAGTTACATTCATCACCCTTCTCTTAACCATGGTCATCATAAAAGGCAATCAGACTGTTCAAACATGACTTGCAGTTGGTAAATATGTGATGACCATCCTATATTATTTTCTTGTCCTTCTTGTATTTGCAGATGGTTAGGCACCACGCAACAAGATGTGCTTCATGATCCTTCCAGGCAGTGAGCTGAGGCTTGTTGGTCTGCAGTTACTGGATCCACTTCTCTCTCTTCCTCAAAGATGTAAGTAGCACCTTTTTCTAGTTGGTCACCCATTCTAGTTGACTGCCATTTCCAATGGTTCCCAGTTTTTTGGTTACCTTCCATCGTGCCTTTACTTTTCACTTAGAAGGGTGTGATAGTATTCTCTTTTCAGATACCCAGATCCAAAGTCTTTTACTCCTAATTAGTCCTGACTGAGTAATCCTGGAGGAAGGATGGGGACGTTTTCTGCCAGACAGACTTTAGCATCTGATTCATAGCCATGCCAGACTAAAACAAGTTCCAGAAGCAGACAGGTACCATGAAAAACTGTTGGGTACGGTAAGTCTGACAGAGACTGATAAGTAAGAGCAAAATTTATAACTGCTTGGTATAATAGGAATTGGCTAACAGCAATCTTATTTGAGCACTAGATAACCCATTCTTTTGTAACAGTTTTGCATGCCTAAGAATAAGATCATTTGAGAAAAGCTATGTAGTTACTGCTGACCTGGAAGTAGCACTGTTTAGAGAGGCATTTGTGCCAATCACACAGAAACTTGTTCTCCTGGCTGCGATGTTTAGGTTAGCTGGCTCGGGGCAAGCTAAAATGCAGTCTGTTTTTCTGATGTTAATAATGAACCAAAGTCCTTGGGTGTTATACTACAAAGCTGTGGAGAGTATCCTGAATGTGCAACAGTTCTGTTCATCACTTGCACATCAATGACTATAAACTTCCAGACAGCACCTTCATTTTGATGTTGAGTTTCAACTACAGCCTGTTAAAGTTGAAAGAACCTCCGAACTTGACAGCAAACGCACATTCCTTTGCTACAGCCTCAAAAGGTCAGCATTACTGAGAGCAGGAGGCTGAACAGAGCAGATGAATACGTAGCTTAGCTTGATTTCATTCATGATAGACTTGAGATAAACTTCTCCGAACAAATCTGTTTTGTAGTGTATGGGCTTTCATATAGTCATGAAAGGAGTGGCTGGGACTGCAGAATCTGTGAGGCTAGCTAGATTTGCTGAGACTTCCTCAGACTATAGCTCCAGTCAATAGAGACATGCAGAGATCCTGGTATCTCTTTGTTCCACTTCCCTGAGCCCATGTAATTGTGACTTGTTATCACAGTCATTCTGTCACCAGCACAGAAGCACCTAGGACCTCTTTGTCAACAAGGCGAGTGTTCACGAAACTGAATACACACAGGAGGTTACTCAGATATAAGGTGTGGTGACTTCTTATACAGATGCCACAGAAGCATCATTAAACTCTTTTCCATTCCAGACTTTGCAAACAGGGAAAGGAGCAAAGCACATCATTTTTAGGTTGCAGTAATTTAGCATAGTAAGACCACCCCATGAGCAGCTAGGGCTGGCTTGCTAGTTTGTTGTTAGTGCTGGCATGGCTCTGAATTTTCCCTTTTCATAAGGAAAGAATGAAAGATGGTTATTTGTTTTTACAGATTTATTCCAACTGCCAGTTGTATGAGGTAGTTGTTGATACCCCCACTGGTGTTGCAGTATGGTAACTGGTGTCTTTTCCACAGCTGAGAGCAGACTCCTTCATTTGCTATGTTTGCATCAGTCTAGCTCTGAGAAAGGGGTCTCCAGCTGCGAGAAAGCTAGGACTACCTTTTACCCAAAGACTAAATGATCTAATCATTATTTATCGTCTGAAAGCCTCCCAAGTAACAAAATTACCAAAATCGTATTTTACATGTCACAATTAAACTCTTCCAGGAATTAATCAATGCTCAATATATTTTATACCTTAAAATTGAGGCAAAAAGAACTTAAGCACTTACTCCTTATTAATTGATCTTACATGCTTAATACACAATATTAAACAAATTTCAAAAAACCCTTGTATCCATCTCTGCTTTTTGGCCTGTCTTTTGCAGCCATGACAATTAAACATATCCCCCCAAAAGTAAAAGATCTTTTTAACTAAAATATTTAAAATAAATACTATTTCTTTGTATTTTCTTTGTGTCTCATTTTAGAGCAATTATCTTTTACATATGAAGGCTGTTCACATCCCTTTGGTGTCCATGTTCAGAAAAGGGTTTTGGAACTGCCTGAAGAAAGGCTGTGACCCGCTTCTTCATAAAGGTGCCCATACCTTTTTCTGACTATTTTCCCAATATTGTATTTCCTGTGCAAAAAGCTTTGAAAAAAGGAGTGAAGAAATATGTAATTTTTATAGCTCTGTTCCTCTGGTTGTATCCAAATGGCTGGCCAGCTATAATATGAGTAGGAATAATTTTGTTCACCAAAGGAATGACACATTATAAAACGCAACCCCCTTATGCTGGATGAGGAAGTTGGTTAAGAATATATAGCAAAACAGTCTTAAACAGGAAGTAAAAATTAATTAGCAGGAAATTATTTTTGCTGCAAGGTAAACACAATAATCACCTGCATTGCAATGTGATCAAGAAACTGAACCCGATTAATGATACAGCAGACTAAATGGGAGAGAGGTCTTTGCACACAAACAGGAAACGAAAGCCGTGTTCCTCTCTGCTTGTCCTCCCGCTAACTGTATGGGTCGAGAGCACTAAAAGTGCAGTGCCTGACCTTAAGGGTGAAAAGAAACCATGCAACTCATGTTGAATGGCCCTTTGCAGAACATTTCACTCCCTGGAATAGCTTCACCGCTGCAGCAGCATGGCTCGTGGAATAAAGTTCAACCAAACTGGGAAGAATTTGTTCCCTGTATCACTTTGGTAGCCCTGAACCTCACATGACCCACACAAGCATGCTCAGAGACATACTGCCCACTCGGGTGGTGAGAAGGAAGGCAGAAGAGGTTGCAAAAGCTTTTTTTATGGACAATTTTTTTACAACAAAGACTTTACCGTGGATGGATGCACTTGCTTTGGAACTTTTTTACACCACTAATTCAACAAATGTAACTGTGGCTACAGCTCAAACAAGAATCTGGGCAACTGGATTAGTTATCAGGAAAACTATGATAAGTATGTGGTAAGATAACAAAGAAATGCACAGTTGCCTTTACAGATCATTCTCTGGACACAATTATGTAGTACAGACCTGTCAAAAGGGGTGACCTTGCTGCATTAAAATCTGATTCTTTTTAACAGGCCTGTTTACTACACAGATATTTATACAGTAACTTGTCCCCAAGGGAAGCATGTTGCGAGGTTTCTTCCAGGTTGCAAGGCCAATTAGAAGAACGTTGTTTTGAAGTGAATCCAGGAAAGCGTAACTTTCCTTGGGATCAATACACTGCTCACAAATACCACCCTCTTGTTTTCAGTCACACTTCTGCATGCTGACAATATTAATTGTTAAAAATTGCAAACTATGACGTGTCAAGCAAGACCTTTTTGGAACATATTTCTAACACTGCAAACAGTCTTGCAGATTTTGAGACCTGTCTTTACACTGACATTTTCTGTTTTGCCTGAAACTCTTTGACATATTTTTAGTTCTTCCTGAAAAATATATCACTGACTTTTACAGTAGGTGCTGTCTTCAGAGAACAGTTTTCTCTCATACTGCTCTTTTTAACCTCTCAAATGCCAAGGACAGATTATACTGGAGAACTGGTGAAACACTGCTGCGAGGATGACACTGACCTTATATTTGCAGAGGACAGTAACACTGGTCCTTGGAAATGGGGAAATAGAAGTCACACAACTCATGTAATTACTTTTTAAGTGGCATCGGATTCTGATACAGCTCCCTACACTGAACACTTTCATTTCCCAGAGTAATTCTACTGACATCACAACTCATTGCAAACCTGAGGCTCTACTGACCTAAGGATATTGGAATATGGCCATCTCCTAACAGAATATTTGAATAACTTCCTGCTGAACTGAAGATGCTACATTTCTGTAGTTCTTGTCCATTCTATGTGCTAACCATCCTGGGTAAATTGTGAGGTCCTAAACACAGCTTGCAATAGTCCTTTTCCTCAAGAATTCAGTGGGTGCTTTTTCCTAGTGCATGGGTTTGTTCTTGTAAATAAGAGAAGTCCTCAAAATATGCTTTGAAACGGAGATTTCAAAATAGAAAAGAGAGTTTGGGCAATACCTTATTCTCCTTGAAGTTTGATATTGTATCAAGAAGTTGCCCTCGTCTTCCAACTTTTGTATCAACATATGTCTTTTTAAAAATGCCCCCTCTGACATAGGGATTGGAGTTCTGAGGCAC